ATTATTGAATGGAATTTATTTTGCCTCTGTGCTTATTTCTACATTGTCCTTAAATGCCTGAAGAAAAAGAAGTCCCAGTCTGACCAGTATCTCATTATATTAAGGGCTGAGGACTTGATGYTTAGATTAAGTGAATACATTAAAGACATAAATTATCTCCTATTATGCAGGATTCCCCATTCCCTCCAAACAGATAACTGTGCTGAAATGGTACAGAACTCATCCTGCACAGGCTACTGAGTTGTCCACACCACAATTGTGGCTTTACTGAAATCTGTGTGGCTTGGTAGTGAACTGCTGTACTTAATGAGGCAAAATTCTTTTTCTAGGATAAAATGTACCTGAAGTAAAAATTAAGTCATGTGAATGCCTAATACCAAACGTCTATGGAAGAGAGAAGTAGTCCAAAGTCCAGGTGATTCCTAGTGCTGTTCCACAGCAGTGCTTGAAGCAGTTCAACTGCAAATATCATACCTATTTAAAAATTGGTGAGCTTCTACTTTATTCTTGTCTTTGTGGTTCCCTGGGAACAYTGAGCAACATTTGGCCAGAACAATGTTAGAAAAAAAAATGAAATTAAAAGCAATCTTTGAAAGAAAGGAAGGTCTCATGACAGACTTTTGTAAAGAACCAGGAATGAAATTTGATGGCAGGAACAGAAACATTTTTTCCTTTTTCTCAAGTTTGGATACCTAATAACATTGAAAAGTGGCTGGTCTTCAAGGTTGCAAGGCTGCGGATTTGGGTATTCTAAAATGCCTTTAAAAGCACTGCTAACTCCACCTACAAAGAGAAAAACGAATGCTGCTCCAGTAGGCAAATGGGATATTTTCCCCATGTATTCAGTATGCAGGAGGCTCTCCATGAGATGTATGGACTTGGTTAATTACCATCTGCTCTGCACCTTTTCTTGCTTGAGCAAAGTGGTTTCAAAGTCAATGAACAAGGCCTTATCTCAAGGTCCCATCTCCCTTCCAGATAGGGTTCAAGCCAGAATGTGGCATACAAATGACCGTGTGTGACATCCTATTGCACACAGAGAAGAGGAAGATGYATACTTGCATATTGCAAGCTATTTCTGTGGTTATCCAACCTTGAAGATCTAGCACATTCTAATGGAAAAGCGTTCAGGTGGCAAAGATCTTTTCACACTGCATTCAGAGGAGAATGGGTAACTTCTGATTCGAGGCTATTTGCCTGTGGAATAGYTTGTGATTGCTGCATCATGTTTCTGATAAATTTAATTGAAGCAAATGTTTCAACTGGGAATAAATAATGGTACCTTGCTCATTCACGACACTGGTGGAAGTGTTATTCAGCTGTTTTATTGTTAGGTTGATCGCAGCACCTGCATGACAGGTGATTAGTTGGGACAAGACTTTTGAATTACAGGTTTGGGTCTTTCTACACAAGGGTCTGGAATTCTGCATGATATTTCTGATGTTCTCATGTGCATATTTCAGAAATACTTTGAATAGATGCTGATTGCACTTTACTTTGTCTGTTTGCTTCTAAGAACTTCCAAAAGCTGTAGTCAGCGAAGTTCTTAACATGGAAAGTTCTTCTGCAACTCTTTTGGGAAGTGGAATGACTTTTGGAAAGATAATGGTGGAGCAACTTGGAGAGCACTGAGAGAGGTAGAGAACAAGAGTGGTTACTTTTCTGTATTTGAGTGTGTGACCAGTAAAAAGTGTTGCTAGCAGACAAAAAGTTTCCTGAAGAAAATCCCAGATCCTCTTGCATATGTCAAACTATACATAAAAAGTAATTGTATGGTGATATAGAAAATGTGTAAGTATTTTTAGACAGAATAAGTTAATTTAGAAACTGTTAGCATARGTTGTGTTTCTGCATAGGTTTGACCTGCAGTTTTTCCTGAGGACAACCATGAATATGGTTATACCAAGAATGCTGGTAAGGAAGAAATACTGTGGTGTTTGGGGATGGCCAGCATTAGTGTTCAGTACTTASAGCAGCTGACCCTTATATCACTCTCTATAAAGGATTCATGAAGTGTCTCTGACCTGGAAATATGCAGAAAAGGCACAGCTAAAGAGACTCTTGAGAATGCAGATCAGGATAGAGGAAATCTTGAGATATCATCCAGTAGTTTCCATGTGAATCCACACAACCTGTTCTATAACAGAATAGTCTTTCACCATGCTGGCTGTCAAAAGACACAGCTTAGCATCAAAATTACTGTCCCTGCTTGTGAGGTTCTTCTAAAATTGACAAAGTGACACACAATTTTACTATCCACTCAGACTTTRCAACTTTGTCCTTGCGCAAATGTAATATTCCCTGGGAGTTAATCTTTGAATGGTTTGTAAGGGGACATAGTCCTGACTCACCGCAAGAATTTTGGTCTAGGCTACAGGATTTTCTACAAAAYAAAATGCTACAAGCTTGCATAGACAGTTAATTCTTAACCTGAGAAAGGAGATATGTCATTTTTTTTTGGCTTTTGCTTGTTCTTTCTGCATTCTAAAGATCCTCAAAAACAGTGATATTGAGTATGAGAGAGAGAGTGAAACCAGACAAGTCAGAACATGCCTATTTGTATATTTTTGGTTCTATGAAACTTGCAAAAAATTACATCGCTCTGCAGCTAAACTGGACTCATAGTAGTACTGTAATTTTACAAATAATTCTCAGTCTCAGTGTTGCTGGCAGAATTTATCTTTCTGRATAGAAAATATGGTAGAAATACAAAGTTGTATATGCTTGTGAGTAGTCTAAAAATGCACATTCTAACAGTCTAAAGGGGCTTAAAAAAAAGTTCATCTGCGAGAGACAACCTGGTTCTTTTAAAGGTTTCCCTATTTTAAACCTAGAAATAGTTCAAAATATAAGTGTAATCCTTTGATGAGGATGAAATTTTAAAGTTTGTCCACTATAATTCTGTTAATTGTTCATGAAAACCAGGTTCCATTTTTGGAGGGAACCATTGTTGTATAATTCCTGAGAAAATTACAGCTTGTGAGATGCAGAGCAGGTGATTTTAAATTTTGAATTGTTAGACTTTTTTGTTTTAGTCRCTGTCTGTTAGAAAGAGAGGCATCAATAGATTGGTAATGATGACACTTGAATTAGGAGATGRATTGCTACACTAAGGCACTTTAATYATCACAGCAGTGATGCTTTAAACCATTTTTCAAACAACAGACTATAGTGTAAGTGTTGGCATCACTGTTACGTATTCACCTGTTGATCAGCGGTGCTGACTTTAGAAAGATCAGTCCAAGGCTATTTTTACAGAGTTCTAAATAAATAAATACATTTTCACAAGCACTGTCCATGGTTTTAATTGTGGGTTTTATTTTTGGAGAATGGAGCTGAAATTGGTCTTAGAAGTGGCACAGCAGGATTTTGCAKCTCTTTGGCTCTGATTGCACCAATATGGCACTCCTTAGACTGCAACAATAAACCATAAAAGGGAAGCTGGCAATAAGRTTTCAGACTTGCTTTGATTTTCTCCCTCCGTATTTTCCTAGCATTGTTTCAGAAAGACTTAATGCTTTTGGTGGCATCGTATAGTCCCAGTATTGTGATTTAAATAAGTATTTGACATACTAATTAACTAAACAGTACACTAGAAGTGCACCATGACTTATGAGTCATCTCTGAGAAATACTTAATCATGAGAATTTCAACAGGATATAATTTTTTTTTTCTTGGATGCTTTTTAAAAAATAWCTGTGGTATTAGGTGAATGGGACTTCTTGGAAAATCGATCTGTACCTTGCATTTTGTTTCTAAAACGGATAAAAAAAGATACTTAAAGTCCTAAAGAAGAGAAAAAGTAATTATTTTATTKATGATATAACTGCTGGTTCTCTTACATGAGATAATTTTAGGGGGTGTTTTCACATTTGAAAAATCAATGCTCAGGGTTCAGATATTAGTTAGTAGAATCTGGACACTACCAAATTTGGGAAATTTACATTTTTATGATGCAGATTATCAACTCCTGCTATTTACTTAAAACTCTTGGTGAATATGGTGTCTACGGCTTTTGCTTTCCATAGGATTTGGAGGTGTAGAATTAGACTTTTTGCATATCTAGGCTGACACAGCTCTTTGTTACATTTCTAAATACAGTTTGATGTTTGCCTTGAAGTCTGCATGTTCAGATGAGAGTTAGAGGACATGCCWTACTCCACATTCAGCAAACTTTTGGGGAGAACATCTTTTACTCAGGAAAAGACTTTGCTSAATTGACAGCCAAAAATCCTGCATGTTTACTTCATAAAAGAAGCTAACATTTTTAATGGCTTTTTATTTTTTTGTTGTTGAATTTCTATATTTTTTTTAATTTTATTTTTCCTTTCAGTAGGAAATGATCAGATACAGTCAAAGCCTCACAATAGCTAACCTCCTGTGTTTGATTTCTGTTATGGCAATAACTGTCTTTTGTAATAACAAACTATTTCTCTTAGGGAACCTTTTGGTGACTTAAGCAATCCTGTGAGAAATTGTTTCTCCTGGCTGAGGGAGGGTGCCAGSTTCAAGCACTTCTCTAACAGTCTTCGGAAACTTTTAAAAAGCCTTTTCCACACTTGAACATGTGTGGAAAAACAGTTTGTGAGTTTCCCATCACAGTCACATACTTCCTGAAAGAGCCATGAAAATGTTTATGTGTGAGCTTAAGGTGCAGGTATGAGAATTAGCACCAAGTTTTGATTGGTAATTCATCCTAGCTAACAAATCATATGGTGCTACAAAAAGACAATTTTTCTTAGGGTTTGGTAGATTAACTACTGGTATATAGCATTCTGTAGTGTGGCTTTGCCAAATTAAAAGTTAGCATTCCTGCTTTTTCAATGAATTCATAGGACTTATTTTAAACCCTCATTTTTCTAACTCATGCAAAATACTTAAGCAGAACTCCTTAGATCTTATGGGACAGAACCCTGTGAGTGTAGACAAATTGATTTTAGTCCAGTAGAATTAGTAACAGTTGGCATGATCTTCATGTGTGTTTGGAAATAAAATGAAATTTCAGGCTTACAAAAGGAAGACACATTTTTAGCAATGAAGCTGTTTTCTCCATTCTGAATTGCTTCTGTTGCCCTTAAGATATTGGGGTGAAGAAATAAAGTAAATTCTATCAGCTAAAAATAACAAAGATAACAGAAACACATAAATCAAGTATAAATAATAGCAATAAAAAATTGAACTGAAGATTTAAAACAATAGTTTCTGTCCCTAACCACAGGAGAGAATAAAAACAGTGCAATGACATGTCCTTTAATGGTTTTGAATAATTATTACTCTTGTCTAACTCAGTCARTTTTTAAATATCGGGAACTTGTCACACACACATGCATGGAATATTTTTGGAGAATCACACCTATRTCTTTGTATGCGAATTGAAGTAAATAAGAATGTAGAGTTTGGGTTTTAGAGACTGTCACACTAGGCTATAACAAAATAATTATCTGCTCAATTAGCAAATGGAGACGTAAATGGTTGAACATTGTTGTTATGCTTAAACCTAAGCTGTGATTTCCAGTATTGCCATGGTTAAAGTCAGTTTAAACTTTGCTTGTTTGTTTCATTCATGTTTACAATAATGGTGTACCATTCTTATTTATGTTCTCAGAAATATAGTTAAGTTAAAAAGCCTCATGAGTATCATAATATAAAGATCTTTTAATGAAAAATTTTATGCTTTTCAAGACTTTGAAAGTTCATATAATAAAGTATTTGTAACACTGAAATCTTTAAGTTGTGCTTAGTAAAGCCTTAATTGGCATATACTAATTGAGTAGTTACAAATGTGGTGTTGTGACACTCAAAGCATTTATATGCTGGGAGTGAACCTGGGTTGTAGTAGTTTGACTTTTTTCTTTTGCTATTTTTTTTAAAACTCATTTTCCAGCGGGCTGAATATATTAGTGATGAATGTGCTGTGAAACTAACTGTTTGTTTCCATGCTGGAAAAGTTTCATGGCTCCAGCAATTGCTAGCCATTTTACCACACAGCATCCATCATTTTGTCAAAGTTTTAATGTTTTGTAGTGAACCACCTAGGAAAGAAAGGAGGAGAAAAGAATGACAAAACAGSCCAATTCTTTCATTCCGTGCCAAAAAACTGACTGAAGTTTATCCCTGTTTGCCCTTGGAACAATTAATGTGACATTTTCCTGAATGCCATACTAAATTTGATTGTCAGTTATTGAAATGTATGTTTAAGTCAGCAGTGATGCAACTCTAAATGCCTTTTTCATTAATGTCATTGAATCCTTAACCCACTACCTTTGACACATAACAGAATTAGAAAGCCTTTTGGACCATTTGGCTGAAGTTGTGCCCTCACTACAGTATCTCAGTTTGCTTGGAAACATTGCTTGCCCAAATGAACTGGTCTGCAAAGAGAAGGATGAGGATGACTACCAGAGATACAGGTTAGTGTTTTCACTTCCAGATGTGATAAGGTATGAAAGTGTTGTTTTACTACTGGAAAAGCAGTGAACTGAAATYAACCCAGAGTCTCAAACATCTACTCTATTCTGAAAGCATTGTAACATGTTCTGCCATGAGACAGCTGGGAATTTGAGTAGCCTCAATTCAGTGAGGAATTCAGGAATTCACCCTCAGAAACCCCCTTTCAAGAAATATTTCAGTGCTGTACAGCACATGTCTGAGTGTAGCAGGTGTGCACAGGATTTCCTGAATGTGAGTATTCATGTACCCCTACTCAAGGCATTTCCTTCTTTAAGGCCGGGATAAGGCAAGGTTTGCATACATTAAGGGTGACTGGCAATTTCAAAAGGAAAAGAAAAAAAAAACCTCCACTGAAATAGCCAGTTGGCTTGTCTTCTGCTCACGTTTCACATGGTGCTAAGTTGCTTCTGCTGTAGTTATCAAGACACTCTTAACACAGAAGAAATATCTCCTGTATTGTGCTGCTTTACTCAGAGCAATCAGATTGAAATAAAAACCCCCAAACTGTCTTTATAATGTAGTTTTAATGAGCTGGATTATGGAAAAGGTCATCTGAAATTTAATATGGAGCCTTGATAAAATACTGTAAGTCCAACTGAAATGTTGCTAAAAATTACAAGAATTATTTAAAGACAAAAATAGAAATACTTGTGATGTTGTGAGTATAAACCTAAAACTCATGGAACATCTGCTGAGTGAAAGAATTTTCAGAGCTATAACCTTTAGACAAATAAGACATTGATTATGAAGAAAAAAAAAAAGACATTAGATGTATTTTTCCTTGCTGACAACTGATGGATTATTTCAGTCCTCGTGTGCTGGCACTTTTCTCATTGGCTGCAAACAGCATTTGTTGGCAAATTGGAGCCGAGCAGTGCTGGTCACCTTGCCTTGCAGAGCCTGAGCTTGCTTTTTATTAGAATCACCCACAGTATTGGGAGTTAAATAATAAACTCTGATGTTATCTTCCTGTAATCCAAATTGTGTTTGGGTAAAACAATACAAAGTGGAGGAGACTAAAATCAGGTTTATGGGGAAGGGGCTTGAATTTGTTGCACTCAGAAATGCTGTAGATTAAACAGCAGCACAGCTGTCCCAGATGTGCATATATACCTTTCAGTTTGTTTCTAACTTTTGGGAAGGATTTCTATGCTGTCTAGACTTTTACCTTTTAATGATTCCACTTTTGAAAACAGCTTAGCTTGTAGCGTTTTGGATTTCATGGGGTAGAGCAGCCTAGGTTTAATAAAATATTTTCCCGTTGCTTTCTCACTTAAGTGGAAGGTATGCCTGCTATCCAGCTTACAAGACTATAATAGTGCTGTCTCTATGTAAATTTATGTGACATGTGCACTAGAAAATTGCTTAAAAAATGAATGATATTTCTACAGTTTACTGTTTTTCACTTTAAGTATGTTTTCTGACAATATGTCCCCTATTAATCATTTAAGCAAAAGTAGTACGTTAAAGGAGCCATTCAGAGGCAAGAACCCATGGTTCATTTAGTGCTCTCTGAAAAAATTCCTTATTGATTGACATCCTCTGTGGTTATGTGATGTAATATTTATAATATGTCACAGAGCCATACATCAAAACAAGCCTGTCCCTTGTTTCATTTCAATGCAAAAATGTTGATTTCAGAGAGGTCAAGGTAGTTTTAGGTCACGTCGTGGCAAACCACTMTGTCAAAGTGTGGAGAGATTTCTATTTATATATCTGCTGGAAACTGCAACATTGCTTCCATTTTCTTTCCTCTCAATTTTTCAAAACCCTGGGTATTTTTTTTTCATATAAACTAGGTTAATTGAAGCTCTTTTAAGAAAGAAGAATGGGCTTCTAATTAGTTGAATGATTTATGGTTCTGCTGCTGTAATGAAAGCTTCCTGATCCTTTTCCATTATTATTTGTTGCATTATATGAAATGTATTTGCCAGACAACATCAAAACCCAAAACCATGGATCRATCCATCGATCTATCTGCCTATCTTTAGGGGAATATATGTCACCTACATGATAGAACTGCTTAAAAATACTCTTCTAATTTTACTCTGAGTAGCTAATTCAGAGTTTTGAGTACACATTCTGAAGCATCTTGAACACAACTTTCGTCTTCCAGTTTCAGCATTTTTTTAATTGTTTGAAATAACTTTTTTTCTATTTTTTTTTTTTTGGTGAGAAATTTTTCAGAAAGTATCAAAAGATTACATTTATGGGAACTTGAATTATGTAAAAACTTGAATTATGTAAACATTGTGCTTCACCATAACTTCAACTGGCTTTTCTAGTTCTGAATGGGAACTTCTTTTTGTAAATTTTTGCAGTGACCATTGGAACCACAGCTTCATTTTTCATTGAGCTTTAATTTCATTCCTRCTGGGTTCAATTAGAGTTCAGGCTATTTAATTCCTCAACCAGAAAGAAAAAGGTGCTAGAAATCAAAGCTTTACTTAATCTTCTCATTCCAACAAACTGAAAAGATCTGTAAACTTATTGTTAAAAAATGTGGAAWTTTTTTTTTTTTAAATTCAAGGTCCAGTGATTCACAGTGATTGTAGAAACAGAGGTTAAAAGTAATATTACATATTTTAAAAATAATGAACTTTTATCAAAAATACTTGGGAAATATAGAAAACTWTGCTTTTGGTCAAGAAATTATGATGTGGTTCTTCAGGTGATCCATTGGTATGCCGTTTCTATAGTTTTATTGCCAGAGCTCTTCCCTAGTCTTTCGCTAAAAGTTAAATGTAAAAACTGTATAAAATATGTAAAAGTATTATGTTTTATACTGAAACATTATTGTGTTTTTTTTCTCAAAGCAGTTTTTTTTCTAAGAACCACAGCAACATTTGAATTGGATTTTTTTAAGGAAGAAGAAAAGCTTTTTTTCCCCATCCCTGCTATTTCTTCTCACATTTCAAATGTGTAGGAGAATGAATTGATTAAAAAAAAAATCTGTGCTTTTGGAATTTTTACTTGGACAGAAAAAGAAAATGGAAAGTTCTCTTCTGTGATATTTTTATAAGCAAAATTATTTGGTTCGTTTTAAAAACTCATGGGTTTTTTTTCATTGTAAAATGGCTTTAGTTTCTCACTATCAAAAAAATAAGGTTTTTTATCTTCTTTTTTCAGCTTTCTGTATTTGGGTGTTAATATTTTGTAAAGACATATCTTGGTGGTGAAGGCAAGGGAAAGCAGAATATCTACCATGTAATGATGATAGGAGAATTTAAAAGCTTTTGGCTCCAATAGGAAGCAAGAAACAGAAAATCAGGGTGCAAAGCAGTGTCCTCTGAAATAACCTAGTCTACAATCTCTGCTTTGAAGATTGCGTGAAAACAAAGGTCACGACCCGGAGATCAAAGTCATAGAAGTCAACACAGTAATTGCTGGTTGCTTCTGTTGTGCTCACAGTTGGCCCGTCCTGTGGGTGTATTGTTTGCAGTGGAAACTTCAAACGTGGTGTTACTGAACTGTGAAAAATCATCTGGGTCACCATGTATTACCAAGCATTTGTGAATGCTGCAGGTGACCTCACCTATTTTCATTAAAGCGATATGATTGTGAAGAATTCAGGCCATGTGTGAAGTTTTCAGAGCTTGCTCATTCTTCTTTGCTCCTTATTGACATTTCCTGGAATGATGCATTCATTAAATGCTGTTGACATGGAAACAAGGGCGAGTGGAAACAAATGCCTGAGTTTATTTTAAATTAGCTTAAAAGTACATGTACTAGATATGCTATCTTTGGCTGGGGGAGCAAATGATGATAACCTTATGAAGTCCTCTTAAGATATAACAGCAAGAAAGGAAGTGTATGCATTTTGTATGGATTAGCTTTTCGAGCTAAATCAGCTATTCCCATCCCAGTTTTGATTGTGAGAAATGATGGGTCTTATGGCATTTTCAGTGCTCTTGCAGCTTTCTTTTGTTTTATTGTGGTTTTGTTTTATTTATTTTTTTTAATTGCTACAGAATTTACTTATTTTACATAGTCTTGTTATTGAATTTGGGTGGTGATATAAATATATATTCAAGAAGCAGTAGGAGACTGGAAGTCCTCACCCAGTAATGAAAATAATGCTAAAATACATGATCAATACCAGTGAACTTACTGTTGAAGCTCTCTTTCAGCAGGAGGGTTTGAAGTCTGTGGTAGTTCTCTTTTTTTCTTTATSTACTTAATTTGATGATTAGGGTATTCTCTTACATCTCTATCATCTATGAGTCTGTGCTCCTTCAGTGTTTGAGTGAAGCCTTGTCATTTCACCRGTACCTGGACAGGAAAACCTGTACTTGAAAGACATCAAATGGCCACTCAACATCCGAGACTGGCCCCATCTGGGATCATGAGCAACAACAATTATGATGTTTTTGTTCAGCCAAATAAATTGAAGTCCATATTACCCAATTTTTCTGTACTAACTCAGTATCTCAAGCCGTAACTATAATTATCATTACATGTGTAGAAAAAGATGTTCCTACTTCATGGAGTTGTTTGCCACATGGAAGAAGGGCAGACAGAGGGTGTTAAAATATTGGGAGCTGCTCTGGATTTCTGTGTGACTTGCAAGCCCCTCAGAATTACAAGGCCAAACAGTGCCAGGACTGCCCAGGGTTGATATGATCCTGTGCCATACCTCAAGCCAGCATCTGCCCTCTCTTTGGAACATTCTGGTTTAKGTTTATGACCTGTCTTCCTTGCCTGTGTATTTAACAAATGCTTTTGTCGCAGAGGAAATTTGTTAGCTGGGTATAGGCTTTTTGATGGGGGTAGAGGGGTAAATTTTTTGGGGGTGCAGAAGAAACAATCGCACAAAGTGACCTAGTTCATTGTCATAAACATGTTTGTTCAGTTCTTCTGATTTCTTCTTTTTTTTTTTGTCTTTCTCTAGTTGAATGCTGATGTAACTCAGCCAGCTTCAGGTTATTTATTTTTTCTAGTGTACAATAATGTAACTGAGAGCATAATCAGCCTTTCAAAGTTTGAAATAGGCGTATTATTTTTGTGTTGTATGATTCTTAGGGAAAGGAAATATAATAGCACAGAAAATAGAAAAATGAAAGTAAACACCTTCTGAAACAAAGAGAATGTTGAAGGTATGATACAGGTAGAGCTGGATGTTTCTTTATTCTTGTAGGTAATAATTTCTTAATTTTTCACAGCAGATAATTTTTTTGTTTTAGACATAAGTATTGATGCATATATAACAGTTTTATATTCCAGTTTTTGTTAATTGCAGTACAAACTGGAATACTTTACAGAATCTAGTTCTTAAAATAGACTTTCATAAAAAAGGAAGAGTTTCCAAATGTTCCTTTTTTTCCAGTATCCTGGCAGGTATAAAAAGCCTTGAAAAATGCTCGTTGCATGCAGCACACACAAAATTGGTAAAGGAATTGTTAACCTCTATTGTCATTTTTACTTAACTAAGATGGAAATAACTTGAAATTTTATATTCTTCTTCCATATTTGARTGTTCCTGTTGGTATGATGAATACCTCTTATGAGCTTATTTTCATGGGACTCTTGGCATTGGCAGTCGAGGTGGGGGAGATGATTCTGAACAAAAGAAGGTGCAACTTTACTTACAAAAATAATTAGTTTAATCCACTGTGAATTAAAAGATCAGTTTATAGGCAATGATATGTGGATCTGTAAGCACCTTCCTGGTGTGTCTAATTTTTATTTTTCTCTCTTTGAAGCTCACCTTTATTCTCATCACTGAAGATAATAACCTTTTTTCACATAACTACAAAGATGTTAAAACCCAGCAACAGCAATCTCAGAACACATGGAGCAGTGCTGTTTCAAAAATATTGAGGAGATAAAAGAGGTGGGGGGCATAGGGAGACCCCAACTTCTAAATAAAAGTTTCTAAACTAAGTATAGGATCTAGATGGATCTTTCTTCATTTAACGGTGTTCTTTTAACTCGTGATTTTACAAGTCTAAAACAGGTGCAATGTGTCATGCAATTTATGGGTCCCAGGACCTGCCATAAAGTATTTTATGATGGCTGTGTTCTGTGTTATTAGTAGCTGTCTTTTTCTGCAGCCATTGGTGTTTGATAATAGTCTTAAAACACCCAAAATTACTTACCTGCAAGCAACATTCCATAGTCCCTGTTGACAGTTTGAATAAGTTTAGTGCCCTTTTGTTGTACTTTACCTTCAAAACAAACTGATTGAACCATCAATAGCTCCTGAAAGCTGACAGAGGCATGTCATCTGCTCTAACCCTCTGATAGTAGGTTATCTGTGGGAGTTAACCTCCCTGCATTGTTAACTGAAATGTTTTATGTACTATGCAACTTTAGGATACTGCTGTGATAACCTTAGTAACTAAGTCATACATCACAGTAAAGAGATTTTGTGCAACAAATAACCCTGGATTAAATTTACAAGGGTTGAATTGATATTGTAGAGTGTTCATTCCCAGGCTTTGGTAATCCTTTCTTGTATTTTTTTATGGCAAACTTGTGTTACATTTAGATTGAAGCTGCATCTTCATATTTCTAGCTAAAATATATCTGGGAAGCTTGCTTTTTTTCTTGAGCCATTTAATAAGAATGTACTGTGTTATTTTCAAATAACATAGATGCTTTTAATCCCACATTTAGTAAAAATAATATGAATCAATGAGATTATTTTAAAAGGTGATTGAAAATGCAATCACAGATATAGCTCCCTCCTACCAGTGGGATAACCTTTATGGTACTTACTTTATAGCATTTGATCTGCTTAAGGAGTGCAAATTCRGAGAAAGAACCAACCCCAAACCTGTGACTTGTGGAGTAGTTTGCTGTTTGATTTGTGTGGGTAGGGTTTTTTGGTTTTGTTTCTGGAATTGACAAGTACTAGTGCTAATTCTGTTTTTTGAAATGCAGTCAGGATGGCTTAAAAATACAAAAATACATTTGTATCAAGGAATGCTATTATAATTTTAAGCTCTTTTGAAATGATTGAGAGACTGACATTAGGGCTGTGATCCAAAGTCAGCATAGATGACAGTGCTGTCTTATTCTGTTGTCATTTTTGTTGCAGCCTGCTTTTCAATGACATATTTCATTCCATCATTAAACATTTGCTGATTTTCTAATACCGATGTTTTCTTCACCTGAATATTCATCTTTTCTCACCCTACACTTAGTGGRTGTCTTTACTCATTTTTAGCTTCACTCTTCTTCACTCTTGACATATTGTTTCCTTCTGTACATGTCTTCATTTGAAAGAATCTGTTGTCATCAGAGCTTTTCTGCCAGTAATGCAAGATGGATAGCTTCTCCTCCAGTGAAAGATAAGGGCCAGCAAAATGCCAGGGAGGACTGGAAGGGCAGCCAGGAAAGCTGGAATGAGTCTGAGAATGTGTCTGTCTCTGTAGCTGTTGTTTAAAAAAATGGTCTTAGGAGATGTTCTGTTTTSTGAAGTGACTCTGTTTTTCTTCCACTAATATGATTGAAAGCCATAGATTGAGGATTCACATTTAAATTGTCTGAGAATTTCAGAACTGAGTATTTTCAGTTCAGTTGTTAACAATTTATGAAGGTGTTGCTTCAGAGGAGTGGTGTCCTTGTTGGAAAGGTTTATTTGCTTATTACATTTTCCTTGGTTTTAGAAAGGGGACTGTTGCAGTCTTTTTCACATGTTTGCCTGGTTTTGACAACAGTATCATGATAAAGTTTTACCTTTTAAAACAATTTTTTTTTGTGCATTGTTCTTTTTCAAAATGTTGTGCAGAGATTTCTGCCACTTTGATTTCTTCCTCTCAGTGCCAGAAGGGATCGGTGTGATGAGCAGCTCTCTGATTGACTGGGGGTTCATGAAAAGTAGTCAGCCTGGGGATCATTATCATCACCTTTTTTCCCCCTGCCAGTGGATATTTCCCTCCACTCTACAGTATCTGCTTCACATTTGGTTGCCTAACTGCAAATGACATGTACTTGAGGTGGTTAGACATTTGGATTTGCCGTGGCTGTGCCTTGCTTTGGTGTTGATCTGCCATGTTCTCTCCCTCCACAACTGAGGAGCCAGTAGTATTTTTCTGAGGCTCGAAAGCTGCTGTCCTTTGAGTAAAAATGATAAATAGGATATAAGACTGATGAATTTTAACAAGAACTTGGAATTCTTAAAATATATTTCCCATAAATTGTGTCTCTCTGTGCACTTCTGCACTTAATCCTGAGCTGGGACCTGCCATGAGGACACCTTGTCTGTCTGGCAGGACCAAACTGGAATTCTCCTTCCCAATGCTGATCATTGTKTTTTTAGGAAAACAAAATAAAAATCTGAAGAAGTGTTGGCAAATAGGAAGAATGCTTGCAGAGAAGTGAGCTGGCACTTTCCCATATCTCAGGGTTTTCTCCCAAACTGAGTTGGAAACTTTGGTATCACTCAAAATTACTTTTTCCAAACAGGCAATGCAAAATTATTTCCAGGTGATTCTGTTTCTTGTTGTGCTTTATGCCTCACTAATACACGGAGAGAACATACATGTCCATGGTTTGATCCACCCACTATCAAATGGTTTTGGGCAGTTTACAACAAGTTTCATATCAGAGAATAAAGTAATTATTATAACTTTGTATATAATCTACATTGCATGGGAAAGGTGAATAGAGAGAGGAATCAAAGGCTGCTGTTGCTTAGGGCTGTTGTTTATGACTGTTTTTTTTTTAACTCATTTAGTCTGAATGTCTTTACTATTGAACTTTAAGTGTGTGCATTTTGATATCTGTCAGATATTTTGTCCTGCACAAGTTGACAAACCTGAAATTTCTCGATACTCGGAAAGTAACCAGGAGGGAGAGAGAGGAAGCCTTGATTAGAGGTGCCTTCATGAAAGTGGTGAAGCCCAAGGATGCCAAGGTAGGAGAGTAAATGTACTGATAGTAACAATAATGTGATTCAATTACACTGTTTCTAAATAACTCCAAGAGCCTGGCTGCATGTTTTGCTGAGGTAAAAACTAACAGGTGAAGGCTTTCAAATGAAAGGACTGATAAATGTGGTCAAGTGGGGGACAAAAGCCTTAGGAACTTTTCTGTGTTTTAATATGGAAATTTACAGGTCCATGTATAGTATGCTGTGGCCTTGTTATCAAATTTCTGGTTTACACCTCTGTTTCACATAGCAAAGTAACTAGCATGTCACTGAGCTTAAAAGAGCATTTTTACCTGTCCAAGGAAATGTGTGATACATTTTTGTGAAAGAATGCAATATTTTCTGACAAGTTGTCCCCTGCCTTGTATGTTAAACTCAAACATCTGTTGCAGAGCTCACACCTACGGTGCTGATTGGCTTTTCGTGCACCAGTTGATTCTAATTTTGTGTGATGTTACTTAATGTGGTGTCCTGCTAACAAGCATTGACAGCGTCAGAGAGACAGTTGCAGTAATCTGAGCATTTAATAAATCTCCCATCAAGCCTGGGCGTCCTGTTGGAGCAATCAGAATACGAATGTGAGTTCTCCACTTTGCCTTCTTTTCCCATTATTGATCAATACATGATAACAGCAATCTGAGGTGTGCTCAGATTGCTTTWGTACTGCAGGTTGTTCTTAAAACTCCACTCAAGTTTTCAGTCTACTTGCTTTCTGTTGTTTTTTGTTTCTTGCTGTTTTTTTCCTCTAAAGCAGACCATCAATAATTTATTGCAGATTTCCAATAATGCTGAATAATAGTGTAGCAGTTATGGAAATGCACTGTTTCATAGCGTAACAATGTTGCTGGATAAATGCATTATCATGAGTACAATTGCAGTGCATTATAGATTAATTCAGACTGATTAATTTATAACTACTAAAATGTTAACAGTTCTGATACAAACATTGCTTTGATATATTGTTTACCACTGCCTTTAGTTATTTCAGTTTCATATATGTAATAAATGAAATTATGTATTTTTTTAAGCTGTGGTGGTGATCTTATTCACAGTAAACCATCTTTGAATCTGGCCAAATGCAACAGCTGAATTGTGTTAGCTATAGCACATGTATGTCATCTTCACAATTCTTCTTATCAGATTTTGGGTCTGATGAAGTTTGCTTTTTTTTAAAAAAAAAATTATCTAACAGATCTTTTGTTTAAGAATCTGCTCTGCGAATTGCATCCAACTTAATAGTGTAAGAGGAAAAAAAGTGTCTCAAATTTTAAGTTACTTTTCTGGATTAAACCTCTCTTTAAGTCAATAGCTAAGGGTAAATTACTTAAATTTAGGGATAACATCTKTATCTTTTATATCTACGACTAAATCTTTTGTATAGTTTTGAATTATTTACCCACTAAATCTTATGATAAACCATACATTTATTTCAGAAAATTTGCAGAAGGCTCCAATTTACTGTTGTTATTGCCATACTAAAGGGTTTTTTTTTCTTCTTTATAAATGGTTCAATACAAATTACTGAGGGCAAAATCATTGTAAATTATTTTTATGGCATGAATTAAGACTTCTTAAGGTGCTACAAAATTACCCTCATCATAGTATATTATACACATATCGCAAAAGTGGCTAATTTAAAATAAATATTAAATTTGATGCAGATAATATGTAACTCTCCAAATTGTTTTGAATTTGTGCCTATTTCCTAGGATATTCTTACAGCACACATGCATGCAAACTCTTTTATGTCTGAGAAGATTCARAATTTTCTCCGCCTATGTGCTTTCAGATGCAGCTGAGTGTGTGTATAGCTATTGACAGCTCTGCTCAGACCACAGCAAGCAGCATCATCCACACATCACAAAGATGATGTGCACAATAACTGCACTTTCAGGTTCTGTCATGTGTTTTACATTGCATACATAATGGGTTTTTATTTTTTAGCCTTAACATTTCCTGGAGCTTGTTGTTCTCTGTTCATGGGTTCCAGTCCCATGTGGCTGTCGATATTTTTGATCAGCTTCAGCCAGATTTAACAGACAGGTAGTGCTAAAATATTTTAAGCTTTCTGAAACTAGTGACAGGTTGCACTTTGGTCCAAACTCAGAGGAAGATTGCAGTGTATCCAGTATTGGTCATCAGAAAAACTCCCTAAAAAGTTGTCTTAGTGGTATAAAACCTTGATGATAATGAGTTTCCCAGTAATGTGGGTTTTTTTTTTTCCTTTCACCTAAGATAGGAGCCACTGTGTCAGCCTGTGTTTAGCAGGAAAGGAGATGCAGTGATTAGTATTTATGTTGGTGGATGCCAACATAATCTTCTGCCAGATTCAGTAACRGCAGTGGGCCTGTCAGACCTGCTTTTTCAGAAAAGAAAAGGAGAAAAACCAACAAAAAAATCCTAACTTATGTGGTGGCTTTTATTCCCCCATTATGATAAGCAGGAGATGGTATGGCTTATTCAGCATAAAAGGAAGACTGATGATCTGAGGAAGCTGTGATGTGGGGAGTTGTTTTCATTTTAGTCTTGACATGAAATACTTGGGAGAGCAAAATACCCCACCAAGAAAAAATACACAAAATGAGAATAAAAGCAAGAAATTTCCATCTGACTGGCTTGTGTTTACTCAAATGCGAAAGTATCTAGCAATCACCAGTCATCACTAAGTCATAAATAGTTCATTTTGTATAAATTTTTTTACTTTCATTTTTCCCTATTTTTTTGTAACAGAACAGTGCACTTTCTTGTGCTTTGCTTCATTTCATCTTTTGTTGAAAATGCATCTGTTTGTGATATGACTGTCTTACGGAAAGATACAGTCATTTATTAGAAAACAGTTTAATGTTACCATGCAGTATTCCTTCTCCGTGTAAGTGAACTAAACTTCATTATTCTGTTACGTTTATGTTTTCTTTTGTCAAAATATTGAACATTGTATCATGCCTGCTTTTAATAAAGGTTGGGTAACTCTGGCTGGGTAAGTGGCATTGAGCCAGATGAGGAAGCCTGGTTTAATGACCAGACCATGACCTCATTTCACTGGCATAAGTGTAGATCAAAGTGGAAGATGCCTGTCCAGTGTGAAGTGTGTTTCTGGGCATGACAGCATTTCACATCAGAAAGACAGCTCAAGAATAYGACAGTCAAAATTGCTTAATTATGTCCCGGCTTTGTAATTATTCATCTGTGCTTCTACAAAGAGTACAGTTGTCATTTCTTGACATAATTATTTAAAACTGTGCCCCTCTTTGGTTTATAGGTATATGAATTGTGCTTCCAACTGTTTCATTTTTCAAACTTAGAGATGCAAAGCAGAATGTGATTTGAGAAAATATATTAAGATTTTTCATTTTTACGTTGCATATGATATAAATAAAGAAAATGAAATTATGGTGTATCAAAGTACATAATTTCATATTTTAAAGGTCTGAATTTATATATTCTGTATAAAGAATATATTAAATGATATTCTGTATCATTTAATCTGGATGATAAAGTGTGGATATGTCCATTAAAGTGTGTTGCTGTGAATAGATACACTGTCRTAAGTCTCTTTAAATATAAATTTAATTACCTAATACTAGGCCGGTCTGCTTGCTTTTATAAAATACATGTATTTCCCAGTATTTCTCAACTCCTCTTCCCAGCAAATATTATTGACGTACTGCATTTTTAMGGTTGGCATTTTCATCTGTTTTATTTACGGTTGTCAAAGAAAGCAGCAGGCATTTGGTCACCAGTAACAGTTTTGCAGCCTGTAGGGTCAAATCATTCGTTGGTGTCCATGAATATACTTCCAAGTCATAAACTTGATATTATATGGAGTTATTCTGCTTMCTTGTCGCTTTAACAAAGGCATCTTGTCCACTGGCTAAGGGGAAAACTCTGTAGAACAAAAGGCAGCAGTATAGGTGTTTTGAATTTTTTTTCACTCTCAGATGTATTGTTTTCATCACAAGTTATAATTATGAAACTTGACATAGCATTTGTTCTCTGAGGAACTAAGATAGAGACACTGAAGCAGAAAGGCAAGTCTAGCGTCTGTATTCCATGTAATAAATGTCTGTGGTTCATGCCCATGCTGTTACTTTAAGGGTAGAAGGAGATGATTTTTTTGTGATAGGAAGAGTAAATATTTAGGCAGTACCATTTAAGAAAGAAGGTGAGATAAAATCTACAGGGTTGCTTTCAGATCATTGCCAGTATTCTTGTGTTTAAGCTCATAAGAAAAGCTCTTTATCAAAGTGACCAATGCTGATATATGCTTCTAATAAAATCAGATGAGGCATAAGGAAATAGTTKAGGACTTTTTGTCCCTAACTATTGGACAAGAATCACACTTTTCTTAAATAGATACATTCTACCTGCTTCCATGAATACAAGCAAAATATTTTTGCTAATGTACCTCATGGACCTTTTAACCCCCTTTCTAAATTAGGAAAATGAGGCTGTTTTTAAAAAGCAAATAAAACAATACAGATAAGTCTTTGGAGAACATCTGCATGGCTCACATCCTTTTTCTTTTCGCCATTGCCATTGTATAGAGTCCTTGGTTTATGGATTTAGAGCATCTAAAGAGCATGCAGAGTAAAGGGCTTCTAAAGTGTAAAGAATYATTGTGTCAGTGAACTGATAGCTCCTAAGAGACCTCTTTGAGAGAACTTCCACATCATAGGATTTCTTATTGTCAGATGTCAAAATTTCACATACCAAAACRAAACAAGGACATGAATTTAAGGCTCCAACCTGGACGGTGGACATCATACCTGTGATGATATTTAAATAGTATTTACTTCAAGGACATTGTAGCAGTCATACTACATTTTGGCCCATGGGAGCATTCATTTTGCCCCTTGGAAAGTTTAGGTATTTTAAGCAGGAGTCCATAACTTGTTTGGTTCATAACCTGCTGTAATTCCAGCTGTCAAGAGTGAAGAATAGACATGTATGGATCATATGTGTATTAGGGTACAGAGAAAGGCTTCTCTTCAGTGTTGGTTATTATGTTGATTATTCTTTA